TGGGCACACGCTCCTCCCCCACAGCATGCACACAGATCCTCTGACTCCACAGGGGTGTCTCAGCACATGCTCCTCCCCCACATTGTGCACACAGACCCTCTGACTCCACAGGGGTGTGGGCACACGCTCCTCCCCCACATCAGGCACACAGACACAGACTCTAACCGTAAATAAAATTTTTAACTAAAAAAAAAAGAAAAAGAAAACCAGAGTCTGAAGAAGTGACTGAGAGGTTAAAAGGTGGCTGTTCTTCCAGAGAACCCAGGTTCCATTCCTAGCAACCACATAGCGGCTCACAACCATCTGGAACTCCAGTTCCAGGGAATCCAACACCCTCTTCTGGCCTCCATGGGCACCAGACATGCACATGGTACAAAGACATGCCTGTAGGCAAAAACACCCATACACATAAAATAAACTAATTCAAAAATAAATTAATTTTTAAAAAGGGAGCCAATAAATTTTTTGAAATATTTTTCTTTAGAAAAGAAACACATAGAAAAATTAGCAAATATTGATAAGCAAAAAGAAGAAAATACAAATCATTTCTAGTTTTATCATCTAAAGAAAAAAATCACAGCTGGTATGAATTCCATCTTTTTTCTCCACACATAGTTTTAAAAATGGATGTGATGGCTGGGCATGGTGGTGCAATCCTTTAACTCTGTCACTCAAAAAGCAGAGGCAGATGGATCTCTGTGAGTTCTAGGCTAGCCTGGTCTACATAAGCAAGTTCCAAAACAGCCAGGGCTACATAGAGTCACTCTGAATCCAGTAGGGTGGAGGTGGGAAATTAATGTAACGGCATATGCCTGTAATCCTGCTGAGGAAAGAGGACTGAAGAGTCAAGGGCAGCCTGAGCTCAAAAAAAAAAAAAAAAGAGTTCTAGAACAGCCTAGACTACATAATGAGAACCTAATCAAAAAGAGTTGGGGATCATCTACTTTTCTGCTGCAAGCCGCAGGAAAACATCATGGGACCCAGCTACCATCACAAAAGCTACTACTTGGAAAAGTCAAGGATTTTTCCGAAGGTCAAGCCATGGCTGAAGGAGTCTTGGTGATATTTTAGCTTTTGTATATATATTAGCTGGTTCCTACAGTGATTTTTCTTGTGTGTTTCCAAGAACTCCTAACAGTGTATTTATCTAAAATGCCTATCAAGCATCCAAGGCCATATGAAACAACACCTGTCTCCTAGGTCAGGCGGATAGTTTTATTTCTGTGCAATTTAGGGTGAGACCCTCCTTTCCTATACAACCTTACTAATAGACCCTAACTTCTTTCCTAACCACTTCTTGGAATGCAGACTGAGCACATAGACCCCCTTTTTGATATACTAACCGGTCATTAGCACTCAGTTGACCTCCTCTTTTACCTCTCCCATTTTGGATTGTAAAAGAAAGCCTGGTGGTCACTGCCTGAGGAAAATTCTTACCTGCCTTTATGACCCTGTAGAATTCAAGCCTGGTGACCTTGCTCGAACAGGGACTTGTTATTGCTTGGGTTTATAACTGGATTCCTGGGAGACTTAGGAGAGACAGAATGGAGAGGAATACGGAGGACCAGAGTACGTGTGGACGAGATGGAAGATGGGTAAGAGTCAGATGGGTAAGTACTAGCTGGGTAAGAACAATATGAAAAGGACCTAGATGAGGCAGAATTAAGACAAGAGAATTAAGACAGAACTTAGAGGGAGCAGTAGATAAACAGAGAGAAATCAGGCAAGAAAGGAGCTAGGCACGAGAACAGAACTGAAGCTGTATATAAAGGATGTTATCCCAGAGAATTAAAGCAAGTGGACTATAGAGCTCGGTGTGCTGAGATTCTATCTCCTGAAAACAGTCCTCACCATTAGTAGTTCTCTCTCCTGAGCTCCTGGGATGTATAATATGAAGGCTGGTCCCTCTAATATTATACAAGACTTTTCTAGCTAATATAACCTCCTGCCTCTGCCTCCTGAGTGCTGAGATTTAAGGAATGGGTCAGCATGTCCATATGGCCCTTTTATTATTCTATAAAGAAAACTATTTTTTACATTTGTGTGTATGTGTGTGTGTGTGTGTGTGTTTTGTTTTTTGACACAAGGTTTTACTCAATTTCTTAGGCTGATCTCAAACTTGCAGCAATCCTCCTGTCTCAGCCCCCCAAATAGTCCTAGGATTACAATCAAGGGTAACTACACCCAGTCACACTTCTATACACATTTACTCTTAGGCATTTTATAGTGCTCTGCTACTACTATACTTTTCACTGTATTTTATGGCTGGGCTATTACAGATACACAGACAACATGCTAATCTTCTTATGCTTATTCTGGAACTGGTTAGTTTTTGAGTCTCCTGTAGATTCTGTTTCCCTTCTTCTTCATTTCAGACTTAACATCCCTGCAGTAATATTTTCATATTTTTTCTATGTCCAGGGTTCTTCCTCCCTATTCATTCCCTTAACAAACAGAGATTAAAGTGTTCACTGTGTTCAGACCCTGTAAAGATCACCTGAAATACTCAACACTCAAAGGAGGGATTTACGTCAACTGACACCACACACCAACCTCTATTTCTATATGTGCAGAACCACGGCCCACACTTGTGCGCTCTCTCTCTCTCTCTCTCTCTCTCTCTCTCTCTCTCTCTCTCTCTCCCTCCCTCCCTCCCTCCCTCCCTCTGTATGTGTGGTGTAACAGGAATTGAGGTTATAATTTAGATCCTACAAAATTCACTGTTACAGTACACAATTTGGTATATTTTGGTAAAATACAGTGTACCTTTTTTGGGGTACACTCTAAGATGTGTATGACAGTTAATCTTCATTACCAACTGGCAGGAATTAGGATTGTCTAGTAAGTGCGTTTCCAGAAGTTTAACTGAGGAGAGAAGCCCCCCCCCCCCCATGTGGTGGCACCATCCTATGTGCTGAACACCAGCACCTCTTTCTCTGCTAGAAGCTCCTGGCTGCGGAGGTGATGTGACTCACGATCCTGCCACCAGGCCTTCCCACCATGCTCAGACTGTGCCCTTCGTAACCATGACCAAAATAAATCCTTCTCCCCTTAAACTGCGGCCTCAAGTGTGTGGTCACGGATGGGGAGAGTGACTAACGTACAGTGCGCCACCCAACATCACCAACTTCAGAACATTCGCATTTTCCCATGTAAACTTACACCCTGTGCAGTCCGTCACCATGTTCGGATACTAGCTTCTGAAAACCACAAACCCGCTTGTTTCTGTAAACCGGCTCATTCTGGACATTTCCTATAAACAGAACCATATGGTGTGTTCTCTGCTGAGCGGCCTGTCTCCTCAGCATGTGCCCAAGGGTCCTGCGTATCAGCAGGACACTCTCTGTTCTCCTTGCTGTGGTCAGAGGACAGTCTACTGAATGCGGCTTCTTTTGTTTATTTTCGGTGTTGTTGTAGTGCGTGCATGTGTGTCTGTGGGTCTGCTGTGCACACTCGGGAGAGGGTGTTCACTCACACAGGCTCACGTGGATGTGCACACACACGGGAGAAGGGTGTTCACTCTCACAGGCTCACGTGGATGTGCACACAGGAGAGGGGTGTTCACTCATGCAGGCTCACGTGGATGTGCACACTTGGGAGAGGGTGTTCACTCACACGGGCTCACGTGGATGTGCACACACTCGGGAGAAGGGTGTTCACTCACACAGGCTCACGTGGATGTGCACACACACGGGAGAAGGGTGTTCACTCACACAGGCTCACATGGATGTGCACACACACGGGAGAAGGTGTTCACTCACACAGGCTCACGTGGATGCCAGAGGCTGAGGCCTTCTCTCCTGCTTTTCTACGTTGCTTCTTTTTTATTTTCACTTTTTGGTTTTTGTGATAGGGTCTCTCTGTGTAGCCCTGGCTGTTCCAGAACTCTGTGTAGCCCAGGCTGGCCTCAAACTCACAGAGATTCTCCTGCCTCTGCCTCCCGAGCGCTGAGATTAAAGGTGTGCTCCACTGTGCCCAGCTGCCACCTTCTTGAGACGGCGTCTCTCCCTGGACCTAGAGCTCAATGTCTGAGTTTGTTTCTAGCCAGCAAGCTCCCAGGACCACAGTCTTCTCCCCACAAACACCAGGACCTCAGATGTCCGCCACACCCTGCCTGTGCACGGGTGCTCAGAGAATCTCACCAGGTCCTCATGCTGTGCAGCAAGGCCCTCTCC